GGTTGTCATGCCCCTACGATGGAAATCGTTTCGTTTTTCAAAGGATGGACGACAAGATTAAGGATGGACTAGTTCTAAGTGTCGTTTGGTATTGAAGAGACATTTAGAGTAGTTTAGGACTTTGTTTTTCCTTTTACCATACTATTAAGGGGGGTATGGACGGGTAGCTTGACCTAGGTGAGTCTAGTGAGTTAGGTGCGGTGCACACTTGTTAAATCTAGCACTAGGTAGCTCCTAAAAAGCTCTTAGATCAATTGGAGCAAACTTCATTCACATATGATTGCGAGTTGGAAGTGAATGGAGGATCAAATGCTGACCGGACGCTGGCTTCGGTGTGATCGGACGCTGGCACAGAGTCCGGTCAGTTTATTTGATCAAGGTGAAGTCGTCTGGAAGTGACCGGACGCTGAGGGCTAGCGTCCGGTCGACTCCAGTAAGGTCCCAGAGAGGAAGAATCCTGATCGGATGCGTCCGGTCAGTGCTGACCGGACGCTGGTCAGGTTTCGGCTACTGACCGGACGCTGAGCAGCAAAGTGACCAGACGCTGGGGGTCCAGAGTCCGGTCAACATCAGTAAGGTTCCAGAGATGGAAAATCATGACCGGATGCGTCCGGTCACAACTTAAATACTAGATTTCAGGGAGAACTGACCGGAGCGTCCGGTCAACATAACCGGTGCGTCCGGTCACCCCGTAGAGAGGCACATAACGGTTCGTTTTTCAGCTGGGTGTATAAATACTTCCTCCATTCTTTGTGGGGTACTTTAGCTTATTCCAACAGCTGAGAAACACCTTTGAGAGTGCCAAGAAGAGCAAGATCCTAGTGAGGTGATTGAGATTTAATAATCCCAAAGAGAGCCCTCATTAGTGAAAGCAATAGTAGCAAAGTGTGCATCCACCCTTCTCATTAGGCTTGTCGTGGTCAAGTGAGAGTTCGTGCTTGTTACTCTTGGTGATCGCCGCCACCTAGACAGCTTGGTGGTGATTGGGAGCTTGGTGATCATCCGGTGGAGCTTGTGGATGACCCAACTCAAGTTGTGAGCGGTTGTGGGTGATTCACCGCGACAGAGTGTCGAAGAATCAACCCGTAGAGAGCACTTGATCCTTACGCGGATTAAGGGGGAGCTACACCCTTGCGCGGGTGCTCCAACGAGGACTAGTGGGGAGTGGCGACTCTCCGATACCTCGGCAAAACATCGCCGCGTTCCTCCTTCTCTCTTTACTTTGAGCATTTACTTTGAGCAATTGAATTCTTGTCATTTACATTCATAGAATTGCCATGCTAGAGTGGGATTGGAACATAGGTTGCTAAACTTTTGTGCGGTAGATCAATAGAAATACTTTCTAGGCACAAGGGGTCAATTGGGCTAACCGTAGGGTTTAATTATTGCAAAGAAATTTAGAATTACCCCAATTCACACCCCCTCTTGAGCATCTTGATCCTTTCAGAAGCGGTTCTTGGCTTGGCGACGACGCCGCCCACCGTCCCCTGTCTGTGAGCATGAGGATGGTGAAATCGGTGGCGCGCCTTGTGGGCGCGACGGATCTGAGCCTCCCGAGCGGCAACGAGGAGGCGGCGAAGGAGGAAGAAGAGGAGGCGAGGCGAGGCGGCTGCGATGGCGAGGTGCTTTCACCATTGGCGGATGAGATCGAGGCCGTCGCGACGACGGTGTTGCAGGGTCGAGCGCCTTGATGGTGCGGTCAAAGAAGTCGGCGACGAGGCGGTCGGCGAAGCGGCTGCGCGGGCGGGCGCGAGACCCCGAGCCGAAGAGCAGGGCGCGGAACTCCTCGAGGTAGAGGAGGAAGGCGCCGAGGAGGCGGCGCGTCTAGCGAGGGAGAGGGCGCCATCGGCCGAGGCACGAAAGGGTTGGTCGAGAGCTCGGCACGCACGGCTGGAAAAGGCGTCGGTGGCGTCGTCGGCGGCGGCGAAGGAAGGAGGATCTGGTTCTACTCCGGCGGAGCGACCGACCGATGGAGCGGATGGAGGATAATGCAAAAGTGCCGCTGCCGCCGGCGATGAGGGAATCGGTGGTCAGCATTGTGCCTCGCATCGATCGGGGGGGCGTCTGTTATGGGGAGGAGCGCCTGTATGGGGGCGATTGCTTTGATTGCTTTGATTAGCTCTGATGATGGGGAAGCTGGCTTGCCGATACGGCGGCGACCACAAGACGAAGAGACGCGCGCGCAACTCGCTCTGTGGCGGGGATGCGTGTCCTCCACCGGCGAGGAAGCGAGAGGAGCACGAGCACGAGGAAGCACGGGCCGCCATGTGTTCGTCGCCGCCGTGAGAGGAGGCCGTGCTCCTGCGCGTGCTCCAGGTGCCGCCATGTTCGTTGCCGGCGTCGGGCGTGGCCATGGACCTGCAGGCCGTGGCCCGGCTGCCTCGCCCCCAATTTCCCCTATGTCCTGTCAGCCGTCGCCATGGACCCCATCGTCGGCCATGGCCGGAGCTCGAACGAGGAAGGGATAGAGATAGAAAAAATAGATGAGGGGCAAAAATATCATTTCTCGTGGCCGATCTATGCTGTCAGATCGAGTTGACGTACCACGTCAGCGAAAATGACAAGAATGTATCGAATGCTCTCTCTCGATGGTAAATATGACATCCATTATAATAGTAAAAAGTTAAATATCCTGCCGATGGCCATGGCTTCACACGGCTTTTGCCTCCTCTCTGCTGCGACTGCGAGCTGCCTTTCCGGGAGCACAGGATGGTGATTGGTCGGCAAGAAAAATCTGCTGCGACTCCGTGTGGCCAGCTCGGCCGTGCCCCGAAAAGGAGAGGCACAATTCGGTGGATCGCCCGCCCGGCCTAACCGTCCTTGCCATTGCCAATCGGAGGCGACAGGCAGGGCAGCGCGAGTTCCTTCATTTTCCCTTGCATTTCTTTCAGGTGATCGATCCATCTTCCCGTGAAGTATGTCGACGCTGACGCAGGGGTTTCAGAGGTTCAGACAGCTGCCAAAGTTCTCAGAGCCTCCAATCCATCCCTCGTGTTGTTGGTGCCAACTGCCAGCGTTCCCATCGTACTACAATCATGAATTCATTCGTGATTAGCGTTAGCGGCTGGACGCGTTGGCAAAGGTTTTCGTCGTATTAATTTCCCGGATACGCACACGGAATATGTGTATTCTGGAGTAGGCAGGCAGGCGTGCAAGAGTGGTGGACACCTGTGACTGTGATTGAAGCATATCTATCGGCTTCATACTTTTCTGCTGGATGTACCGTGTACGTAGTAGACCAAGACTTTCAGAGTTTCGGTTGCAATGGCACCAGGCTTTTGTAAATTCCTTTTTCTTTCATACGTGTCACAATAATTTGTATGTAGCTGTGCTGTTGTTGGTTGAGAACACAATATGCTGCACTACTAACAAAACTATATGTTCTACCTGATGCAACCATAGACATCACAGGTACAGTTTTGATGAGTACCGATATATACACACACACAAAAAAAAATTCGAACAAGAGTTGGCAGTTGTGCAATGAACTGAAGTTGCGTCTAGTTCGGTAGTTAGGAAAAGTTAGCTAGGGTTGGTTACTCCAAGCAACATTCTTTTGTGCAGCAAACTGTTTTGGTTGGTACCACTCCAATCCAATGATAAGCTGCTGCTGATTATGATGATGCTGATTGCCTTCTCTTCCAAAAGCTGCAGCACATCACCACTTAGGAAACAGTAGGCAGGCTGTGTTTTGGGCCTCAGCTAACCCAGTTGTGAGTTGTGATCTGATCTTTGAAACATCATTTGGGCTAGTCAATGGTTTGCAAGGGCTATAGGTGTGAAATGCACATGGGTAACAGTGACATGTAGGGCGCCTTTGTTCAGCCTGTTCGCTTGGTCGTTGTTTGGCTTATAAGCCATGACAACCTTGGTCATGGCTGAAAGTACTGTTGGCTGATTTGGTGTGAGAGAAAAATACTATTCGTTGGCTGAAAACAAGCCAAAACAAGCCCAAACGAATATGGCGATTACTGATGCTGTCAATGATTGAGCAAGCAGGGCATGCGAGCGCTTGGTTGATTGAGCAAGTAGCAGCAACAGGCATCACCGACCGAGCACAGTAACCAGTTCCATTTCATAGAAAAAATGCAGAGTTTAGAAAAAAAAATTCCCGTGTTTTAAATAGGTTTCAGTGGTAAAAGAATCTTGCAGCATAAAATTCTATTATATATGCATTTATTCTTATTATTGCTAAGAAAAATATAATCGGGGTACAAATAACAAAATGGTAGAAATCTGAAGATTGCCAACGAAACAAGCAAGCGTTAGCGTATCTCTGACATTTCTCGGGCCATCGGCAATACATTTTTCGGATAGCTGGTAGTTGTCCGGTGTATACACAAAAAAGATGTGATTGCCTAGAAGGAACAACTCCGTTGTTTTCCTCTCGTCAGTCCCACAATAATGCTGGGACGTTTCAATTTCTCTGCAATTTCTTTGTCAGGTAGTCGACAGGTGGATCACCAGATAGTGAGAACGAAATGGTCAAGAGTTTTGAGTTGGTGGACGTCATGTTCAGAGTTTCAGACAGTAGCCGATGGCTATAATATTGTGTACAGCTTGTGAGCAAACTTACAACGCCTCCTCTATGTACATGTACTCCATTTTTTAACACCGAATTGAGTGAAAATGACCAGAACCGAACTCCAACCTCCTAAATTCTAATTGTGTTGCGTGTTTAACGACGTCTTGTTGTAAATGGTAAAGAATTCAGAAACGAAGGAGAAACAGAGTTAAAGAAGCTGATGAACAAACTTCAGAAGGACCAATTACTGCTATCCAAAGAACTGAAAGGCAATGAGAAATGGCTATCAGCCATGTGTAATACTTCACTTCAGTATTTCACTATTTCCAACAGTATCATTGTAAGAGAAGTTCATCAATATGCACATTAGCATAAGACGAAGAAGAACGAAACAAAAAAAAAAAACGTGCAGGACGGAGCCGCTGCATCCAAGGAGCCGGGCTCGGGCATGCCGGAGCAGAGAATATAACCATCATCACGCGTCCTGGGCGTAGAAGTCGATGATCTCCTTGAGGTCGAGGTGCAGGATCTGGGAGACGGACCGGGCGTCGCAGGCGAGCCAGAGGATGTGCTCGAAGAGGATGGCGTCGACGTCGACGAAGATGGCGCCGCCCCCGCCCCCGCCCCTGCGGTCCTCCTTGTGCGCCACCGTCTCCAGGAGCAGCCGGAACGGGTAGGAGTCGAGCACGAGGCAGTCCACCGCGAACGCTCGCCGCTCCTTCCCGACCACGACCGTCACCGTGGCCGGCGACGGCGGGGCCCCCGCGTCGGCGGCGGCGGCCGCGGCGTCGAGGGAGCGGTAGCCGATGCGGGGCGGCGAGGCCGACGGCCACCGGAGGAAGACGCAGCACCCGGCCATGGCGACGACGGCGGTGGCCGGAGGGTGCCTCGCTCTGCTTCTTGGCGGCCTTTCTCTGCTGCTCCTCGGGATCGTCTCCGCGTGCTGTGGGCCCGTGGCAGCTGAATCCGTCTTCAGGCTCTTCTGGCTGGGTCTGGGTGTAGCCAACTCGTTTATATGAGACGGCGGGGAGGTTGAACGAACCGTTGGGGAGAATTTACAGAACAGGGCCTAGTACCCACGGGAATCACCCGATGTACTATGTGCACGAGTGGTTTAGTTATACGTATCTGATTCTAGGTAAAGTAGAGGGTTTATTTGAAAAGTGCTACTTCCATTGGATGCTAGCTTTGTCTTGGGATAGCCGTTGGGTACTTGGGTTGGACCTGGCCATGCTGATTGCTGAGCTTCTTGATCGTGGAAAAGGACAGGCCGCGGCGTATTTCCTGAACGGGACCACGTCTCCGTGTCCGCCACTCGGCCGTTCCGCTTCGTTGTTGTCGCTCGCTGGGGGCTTGGGGCTTGCCCGTCTCCGTCTGACTTGGCCCGTCGGCTCGGCCTCGGCTCATGCTGCCTCGTCATGGTGTGTCTCACACTCTCTCACGTGTACTAACAACTTGTACGCTACCTGACTCATCTCCATGACTCCATCGGCTGCTTGGCCGTAGAAAAGCACCGCCCGGGTATTAGCGCGTGCGACGCCGAGACAGACAAAGACGTGCGCTCCGTTCGGTTCTTGGGTGGCGGCGTGCGCGCCACCGAGTGGCCGAACCGTGGTGACGACTGCCCCGGATGTCACGTTCGTTTGGCTGATAAGCCATGATTAAAAGTACTGTTAGCTGATTTGTTGTGAGAAAAAAATATTATTCTTTATCTAAAAAAATACGATTTATAAGCCAAACGAACGGAGCTCGTAAGTCCTGACGCGGCGCGGAAGCGGCCTCCTTGGCTGTGGACCTGTGGTGGCGCCGCACGCGGTGCTAGTGCGGCGCGGGGAACACGTCGTGGTGGGCAACGGTCCAGCCCAACGGAAGTTTCGCGCGCGCCGCCCGGATGACTGTCGTCGTCTCCTTATCGTGCTTGCAGGCTTGTGTACCTGCAGCAGGAGCCATCACCAACTCTGACTCCCTATGCGTGTGTTCCCTCTTAGAGTACGGGCGCAGCTGACGGATCAGTTCCGTTCCGTTGCTGTGTACTGTTTCTTCGTAAGGCTAACTCCCAAGCAGATTTGTTTTTGGGAACTAGTACAGGTAGATTGGTCATCTGCACTTTTTCTCTGAGGTGATTGTAACTTGTTTCTTTAGATTTTGTTTGGCATAGCTCATTTTTCACTAGTGATTTTTTTTTTAACTTTAGGAGCAGCTCTATCCATAGAGCTAAAACTGTTTTAAAATATAGAGCTCTTTAAAATATACTCTTATAGAATCCCACAAAGGAGTCCACAAAGCAAGTTGAAGCGGGAAGAAACAATTAGTTTCAGCTTCATCCCACACTAATCCAGCATGTTTCTGTTTCAAAAATACTCGTTTGATAAAAAAAAGCTTCAAACAACTTGTGAAGTTGCTCGAAAAGTTACGCCAAATGGAGCCTTAGTTGACGTCCCCCCCCCCTTCAACACACTAGGACTTCACATTGGAACACAGGAACAATCTAGACCCCCGGGGCCTGGCCCTGTAAAAAGAGAACTTCGAAGACCTATATTCCATGGGCCACAAATCCACCGGTTGCCCTGGGCGCACCGCCCATGCCACAACGAGGAAAATAAGTCATTTTTGACTCTTAGATCCTGCTTGGGACACTGGACTTATTTTGTAATGTGTTATTTCAATAAAATTGTTGGGCAAATCATATAAATTTACTGCTTTCAAACATGCCCATAAATTGTCCTTGTAGTCTAGAATTTCTTCTCAAATTCCAAAATCATACAACCAACACAACTTTCGAAAATCAGTTTAAACACCTCCCTACCCCAGTTAGAAGTGATTTTTAATGTGCTTTTGTTATTTTTAGTTAAAAATTTATGGCAAACATCATATTAGATTTTTAAACCACAAAAATATCTCCAAGCTTATATTTTTTTTTGGAAAAAACAATCAAGAGATAATTTGGGACATAATAATTCCAAAAATATATAGCTCGTAAATATTTCTAAAAGCTTAAAGAATTATATTTAGCTCTATAAATATGATAAATGTCCACAGAAATTTGGAAAATTCTGAAACCATTGTATTTAATATCTAAATGCGCTAACAAGCATGAATGCATTCAAAATCAATGCATGCGTCATTCATGTTGGTTGCATCTCATGTTTTTTTGTTGTGAAGAAAATTAAAACAAATTTATACATTTATTATAATGTTTTAGAATTTTTTCTAGAGCTAAATATAATTTCCAAAATCTTCTAGATATATTTTCATGATTTACACCTTTTTATTTTTGATTTTCATACCTCAATCTATTTGTAGGATTTTTCTTCAAAATTTAAAAATTTAGAGATATTTTTCGTTGTTTAAAAATCTTATGAGTTTATTTTTTCTGAAGGAGGTAAACCCTGCTTTGTATAAAAAAATACAAAATGTTTATCGGGATGTTTGAATTTAAAAAAGATAAAATCACCAGTTTTAACTGGAGTAGGAGGTAACATAATTGCTTGTGAGAGTTTTTTAAGGATAAATTGATTCTCAGATTTTTTTTTGAGGAAAATTGATTCTCAGAGTTGAGACGGACAACCTTGTCGGAGGGCGTGCCTCGAACACGGCTCCACCATCCCTGGGCCTTTGGCCTAATTAAGGGTTGTTTGATCCGGGTTGTCCGGATACTAATAAATAAATAAATTATAGAATCCGTCAGCAATCCATAAGACGAATTTGTTAAACCTAACTAATCCATCATTAGCATATGGTTACTGTAGTACCACATTATCAAATCATGAACTAATTAGACTTAAAAAATTCGTCTCTCAAAACAGTCGCAATCTGTGTATTTAGTTTCATAATTAGTCTATATTTAATACTTCTTATCTCTACAACTAAAAAACAACAAATGTTTTCGTGCACCCGGCTACTTTCACCGCGTGCCCGTGATCCATGTGCCTGCGAACTGCAAATCGTCCTAGCAAAACACCGCGCAGTTCCATTCTTTCCAAAACAAACCGGCGCCCAAAACGTTTATGAGAAAACCACGTCTAGCCAAAAAAGGAAACAAACAACCACCAGTTTTAACTGGAGTAGGAGGTAACATAATTGTTTTCGTGCACCCGGCTACTTTCACCGCGTGCCCGTGATCCATGTGCCTGCGAACTGCAAATCGTCCGGTAAAACACCGCGCAGTCCATTCTTTCCAAAACAAACCGGCGCCCAAAATGTTTATGAGAAAACCACGTCTAGCCAAAAAAGGAAACAAACAACCACCAGTTTTAACTGGAGTAGGAGGTAACATAATTGCTTGTGAGAGTTTTTTTAAGGATAAATTGATTCTCAGATTTTTTTTTGAGGAAAATTGATTCTCAGAGTTGAGACGGACAACCTCGTCGGAGGGCCTGCCTCGAACACGGCTCCACCATCCCTGGACCTTTGGCCTAATTAAGGGTTGTTTGATCCGGCTTGTCCGGATACTAATAAATAAATAAATTATAGAATCCGTCAGTAATCCATGAGATGAATTTGTTAAACCTAACTAATCCATCATTAGCATATGGTTACTGTAGTACCACATTATCAAATCATAAACTAATTAGACTTAAAAAATTCGTCTTTCAAAACAGTCGCAATCTGTGTATTTAGTTTCATAATTAGTCTATATTTAATACTTCTTATCTCTACAACTAAAAAGCAGCAAATGTTTTCGTGCACCCGGCTACTTTCACCGCGTGCCCGTGATCCACGTGCCTGCGAATTGCAAATCGTCCGGCAAAACACCGCGCAGTCCATTCTTTCCAAAACAAACCGGCGCCCAAAACGTTTCTGAGAAAACCACGTCTAGCCAAAAAAGGAAACAAACAACCAGGGACACACACCCCACATTGCGTTCCAAAAAATAAGCCGGCGCCCAGAATACACGTCTCGCAAAAAAGGAAGCAAACAATCAGCGCCTGGTCTCATGCGATTGCTATTAGCCCAGCATGCGTGGAAATAAAACTGTCGTCGCTGTGACCACTCGACTTAGACATCGACATCGATCTACTCCAAGTCGCCGCCGCCGCGAAGTCTGGTGCCGTCACCATGGCACCGCGACGTCAGCTGCGATCTGCTATCCCAATCCTCCGACGCCCCGTGGCCACTTGACATCAACAGATCGCCCCGTGACCACTTGACGTCTGCAGCGATCTGCTACTCCAAGCCACCGACGCCTGTCCGTCGCCATGGCCTTCTGACATCGACGATAATATGCTTCTCCTTACCTCGCCGCCTCCCTCGCGATCTGCTTCCCGGTCACACGACGCCTGTCTGGTGCCATCGCCGTGGCCACCTAACATCGACGGTAATCTGCTTCTCCTTCCCTCCGCCTCCCTCTCGATCTGCTTCCCGGTCACACGACGCCTGTCTGTTGCCACCGCCGTGGCCACCCGACATCGACGGCAATCTGCTTCTCCTGCACTTGTCGTCTCCCTCACGATCTGCTTCTTGGTCAGACTGTACACAGGGCACGACAAGTCACGGGTAAGTGATGCTCAAAAAATTGCCCTAATCCTGTCTATTATAGTCTGTAGTGATTGCAGTTCTAATGCACGATTTAACCTTTATATGAACTAATAATAGAACCATGCATTTGGCTGCAAGAACATAAAATTGTGTTATTCATGATTTACTTTGGAAAGAATATGGGTTTTATTTCAGAAAAAACTAAGTACCATACTCGTGTTGAAGACCCATTTGACGTCAGCAGCGATATGCTACTCCAAGCTGCCGACGCCAAGTCTGGTGCCGTCACCGTGGCCACCTGACATCGACGACAATATGCTTCTCTTTCCCTCGCCATCTCCCTGGCGATCTACTTCTCGGTTTGACTGTACAAAAGGGAGG